AAAAAAAAGGAAGAAGGAGAAGGCATGAAGGAATCATGACTACAACCCACGGGGAAGTCATCTCATCATCCTTCACTAGTGGCAGAAGATAAACAAGGAAGGGTTCAACCCAAGAAAGTCCAGTTGACTTTTGGACACCCATGACCTGGATGATGGAGAATCTCCATAGACCCTCAGGCTACAACCTTGTCCACAGGGTCAACTGAGTGGTGCAGATAGGTGTGGAGCCTTCTTGGAACTGTTGAAAGGCCTGTGTTGTAGAGCTGTGCTACACCCATTTGCACGACTCAGGTAAGCCTGAGGACACAAGACAAACCTCCAGGTGGCCTCAGCAACCCTTTAAAAGGATGCAAATGACCAGCTCTGCCTGCAAGGAGTCTAAATCCTTTCCTTCCCCACCATGCAGTCAGAGCTGAAGAAGCCTCTTAGACGAGAAGCAAAACGTCTTCAAAATCAAATAAGGAAGTCCACTTGCCTCTTGGAAACAAAACCCACATTTGGGACAACTATGACCTGGGTGACGGAGAATCTCCATGGACAGCTCCCTCTAATTATATCCTCCACGTCTTTTAGAAGCAAATTCCATCCAATGCAAAGACCCCGTTATTCTTCCGCTATGCTTCTTGCTTTGTACTCACCGTGCCAGCGTAGTGAACCAGCTCAAAGTGGGCTTCTGCCCCTTTGCCCTTCCCCCCCTTTGGCTTCAGGAAGTTAGGGGACTTGCCCAGGTGGTTATCATACAGGGCCGCCTTGAAAGTCGCATCGCTCGCCTTGGGAAACACGCACTGCTCTTCAAGGATGGAGAAGATGCCCATTGGCTGTTGGGTGAAAGCAGACACGAGGATCAATTCATCCGTTAGTACTGATGTGCGGTTATTGGGGTTGTTTTTTTTTTTCACAGTCTAAGCTTTGGGGGGTTTTCAATAAAAGATCACATACAATCTCACTCCGTGTAGGTCCTGATCCTTCTTGATCAGAAGAAACTCTTCCAAAGATGGTATAGCTAGCTAGCTAGATGATAGAGATAGATAGATAGATAGATAGATAGATAGATAGATAGATAGATAGA